TATTCTACAAAGATCTTTATCGGTCAGACCGCATAACAACATACGTTGTTCCCTTTGTCATCGGTATGTTACTTGCCCGAGATTCGATCGTCGGTATCTCAATACCTAGTTCAATCTCGTTACCGGCAAGTCTCTTTACTCATTTCATAATACATCATCTCGCAACTAACTCATTAGTTGCAATGCTTGCAAGGCTTATGTGATGTGCATTACCAAGAGGGCCCAGAGATACCTCTCCGATAATCGGAGTGACAAATCCTAATCTCGAAATACGCCAACCCAACATTTACCTTTGGAGACACCTGTAGAGATCCTTTATAATCACCCAGTTACGTTGTGACGTTTGGTAGCACAGAAAGTGTTCCTCCGGCAAACGGGAGTTGCATAATCTCATAGTCATAGGAACATGTATAAATTATGAAGAAAGCAATAGCAACATACTAAACGATCAGGTGTTAAGCTAATGGAATGGGTCATGTCAATCACATCATTCTCCTAATAATGTGATCCCGTTAATCAAATGACAACACATGTCTATGGTTAGGAAACATAACCATCTTTGATTAATGAGCTAGTCAAGTAGAGGCATACTAGTGACGTTTAGTTTGTCTATGTATTCACACAAGTATTATGTTTCCGGATAATACAATTCTAGCATGAATAATAAACATTTATAAGGAAATAAAATAATAACATTATTATTGCCTCTAGGGCATATTTCCTTCAACTATAGACTTGCAAGATAGGATCAAGAACACTCATATATTGATGAAAACATAATAGGTTCAGATCTGAAATCATGGCACTTGGGCCCTAGTGACAAGCATTAAGCATATCAAAATCATAGCAACATCAATCTCAGAACATAGTGGATACTAGGGATCAAACCCTAACAAAACTAACTCGATTACATGATAGATCCCATCCAACCCATAACCGTCCAGCAAGCATGGAATTACTCACGCACGGCGGTGAGCATCATGAAATTGTTGATGGAGGATGGTTGATGATGACGATGGCAACGGATTCCCCTCTTCGGAGCCCCGAACGGACTCCAAATCAGCCCTCCCAAGAGGTTTTAGGGCTTGGTGGCGGCTCCGTATCGTAAAACGCGATGATTTCTTCTCTCTGATTTTTTCTCCCCGAAACACAATATATGGAGTTGGAGTTGGAGTCGGAGAGGCAACAGGGGCCCACGAGGTAGGGGGCGCGCCCCCCACCATCGTGGAGAGGTGGTGCCCCCCCTGGCCTTCATCTTTTGTAGGTATTTTTCATATTTTCTGAAAAGTTGCTCTGTAAAGTTTCAGGTCATTCCAAGAACGTTTGTTTCTGCACATAAATAACACCATGGTAATTCTGCTGAAAACAGCGTCAGTCCGGATTAGTTCCATTCAAATCATGCAAGTTAGAGTCCAAAACAAGGGCAAAAGTGTTTGGAAAAGTAGATACGACGGAGACGTATCAAGCTCCTCGACAAGCTCCTAGCCCATCTGGTTGAACGTCACGTAGCCCAGCTAAATGCCACATCATCCATTGACTGGACCAAGACGTGGTCAATCAAGAATGCCATCAAAACTCAAATGGCCACGTAGTAATTCTACCGATAAGTACCACAATTATGGATGTTATTACACTTGTTTATCATACTCCCTCTGTCCCAAAATTCTTGTCTTAGGTTTGTCTAGATACAGATGTATCTAATGCTAAAATGTGACTTGATACATCCGTATTTAGACAAATCTAAGACAAGAATTTTGGGACAGAGGGAGTAAGATGAAAAGGGCACAAGACATAGATAGGCTCATAAGATTTACTCAAGTCTACAAGCTAAAGACAATCCCTTGTAATCACTTGACTCACGCAAGAGAGAAACTCATCCAAGCATGAGGCATTACCCCTAGAAAGGGGGCATGGAACTGGGTGTAGGTTTTATTTTTGTAACTTTATTAGCAAGACAGTAAAAAAATCATTTGTTTATGTAAATTATATCCAAACTTTAATGGTCTTTACATGAATTTCGTCTGGTTAGTTTAAATAGTTGATGAAAAATGTATGCGGGCAGCTTTGGATGGCAGTCTCCCGTATCAGTGTACGCGATTGGTCCCCCCTTTTCCTTGATGGATGTGGGAGCATATTTGCGGGTCAGCATTGAAGATGCCATAAATTCATAATGACATAGGGAGAACTATGCATAAGTTCTAGTAGCATTTCCCGAATACGCGAGAATTACGGTGGCGTCTATTCGATTCACCTTTTTATTTGTCCTGGCACAAACAGAAGAATGTGTGCCCCTGTTCCGCTGGTGGATAGGGGGCATATTTGCGGGTCAGTGTTGGAGATGCCATAAATCAAAATGACATATGGAGAAGTATGCGAAAGTTCTAATTGCATTTCGCGACCCGTAGCACGTCGCGTGGAGCACAGGCGCGGGCGTGCGCGAGCGCGCAACGCCGGGAGCGTCGGCGCGGGCGGGCACGAGCGTGCGATCGGAGAGTGCAACGAGGAGCACAGGTGCGAGCGTGTGACCCCATGGCTTCATCGCCGGCACGACCTCGTCCGCGAGCACTTCGACCTCTCAGCTGCGGGGTGTTGACCTCATCCGCGGGCAGGGGTGCGCCATGGGAGCTCAGGGCGGCGCGCGCAGGAGCTCGGGGTAGTTCACTCATAGGTGTTCGATGGAATGCCGGGACGAGCATGTCACAAAATGAGTCCATCCTCATTGGGCGCATCGACCGACCCAAACGAAAAAGTTAACACGGTTGAGCGGACGGCCGTTCCAAACGAAAAAAGACAAAATCGGGGTTCGTTTGGGTCACCGCGTTGGAGTTTCTCTTATAGTGGTGCTGATTAACCTTTTTTATTTGTCCTTGTAGCAGAGATAGAAGAATGTGTACTCGTAATTATCCATTTTCGAGGGTTTTGTTGGGAAATTCTTTGGTTTACTCCAAAATAGAAAAGGTTCGTGGGCATTCGAAATGAACCGGCCGTAATCTAAAAAATATATATAGCCGGCCACCGGCCGCGCCTACCGGAGAAGCCTCCGCAGACCGCAGCTAGGGTTTACCGTCCCCGCTTCCGTCGTCCCGCGCCTTCTCCCTCTTCCAAAGTCGCCGGAGCACATGGCCGGCGCCGAACGATTGACGACGGAGGGGGCGGAGAAGGACCTGGAGTTCTCGCGCGGCGGCGAGGTGCCCAGCTTCGAGTTTGCGTTCAACTCGCAGAACTTCTCCGACAGGTTGCTGCTGATAGAGATCGGCGCCGGCGAAGATGTCGCCAGACGATCCCTCCCCGACTCGGCGCGCCACTGCAAGGAGAAAGGTGCGTACAGTACCCCCTCCCCCCGCGCCGGCAATCGTATGATACTGTTGTAAATTCATTACTCCCTACTAATTTTGTACAAAATCAGCGTCAATTAATATGGATCGGAGAGAGTACATGATGTTTGGCGCAATTCGGATGCTGCATTGTGGGGGAATTTGCGGCTCGTGTAGTAATGGTCGAGACAGGGCTTCTGGTTCTGGCAACTAGTCGTCGACGTGCACGGGCTGTTACTAAGCTTTGCTCTCCTCCTCCGCATACAGATCGAAGGAAAAGGGGCTAGGGCAACACATGCATGGGGCCTCACATTAAACGCGATGTCAGCCGTTGCGAGCGAGTGTTGCGGCTGTGGCAAACCGTCCCACGACATGTCAAGCCAGCCATGCATGGTTGCCGCGAAGAAGCATCATGGCTACTGCGAGCCCATGGAGAAGGCGTTGCTACGAGCCTCATCCTACGACGCTTCTTCGACGAGCCGATGATGCTACAACGATGGGATGCAAAGCCAGTGATCGTGCGTGGCGATGTTGGAACCAGTAAGCACTTTGCAAGATCTTTGCGGCCAGAGGTCGGCGGGGTTCCAGGGTGTCGACGATGGCTTGTGATGGCCGACGGAGGCAAGAAGACGTGTGCTAGAGTGGATACAACCCAGCCGGCAGAGCGGTGGCCGGTGGGTTAGAATGGAGGCAAAAAATTTGGACGCATCATGTCTACAAAGTATTCCCTCCGTTTCTAAATATTTGTCTTTCTAGCCATCTCAAATGGACTACAATATATGGATGTATGTAGACATGTTTTAGAGTGTAGATTCATTCATTTTGCTTCGTATATAGTCATTTATTGAAATCTCTAGAAAGACAATTATTTAGGAACGGAGGGAGTAGTAAATAGAGCGGACGATGATATAGAATCGGCTAGGCATGGTTTAGCCCCACGGAACCAAATTTTTATTCTCTGACGGGTTTTAAGGGATCGGCTAGATATGCAAAGGGGAGGACCGAGGGCCGGGATTGGGAGGGGAGACTAAGTGACTGACTGACTAGTGGGTCATGGGGTGTGGGGCGAGTCGTCGTCGTCTCGTCGTGTCCAAGCCGCCACCCGCGGCTCCTCTCCCTCCCCACTCCATGGATGCATGCCGTCGCGCCTCCCCTCCCGTCTTCGCTCTGCTCCGCGGCGGACGGCAGCGCAGCCGCAGCCAGGCATTCAAGGCCCGCCCCGCCGCCGCCGCCGCCGTCTTCGATCTTCCTCCCCCTCCCCTTCCAGTGCGCGCGGCCGGCAGGCATTCCGTCGAACGCCTACGGTGCGCACCCACCAGGCCCTCCCCGCACCACCCCCGCGGTCGAGTCGGTCCCGTCGTCCACCTCTCCTCTCTTCGGAGGAGGACTCCCTCTCCGTGACCAACTAGTCGCTATTCTCCGTCCGTCTCCGCGTGGGCTTCCCTCCCTCCTTCCAATCGCGTTCGACTCCGCCCGCCGCCCTTCCAATCCCCGGCGACATATATAAGCAGCAGCCAGCACCAGATTACCAAACCGGTTTCGATTTCGTCGGAGTAGATTATATCTCGGGCGCGGCCGCGGGATCAGCGTCTGCTGTGTTCGTCTGAAAGCTTGCGCCGTCGCCGCCCGCATTGGTGGCGGTGACTGCTGGGCGGCGCTGAAAGTTAGTTTTTTGAGGGGGCGGCAATGGCGGGGTCCGACCAGATCAGCGAATTCTGCAGGGCGCTTGGGGGCGACACGCCGATCCGCAGCGTGCTGGTCGCCAACAATGGGATGGCGGCCGTCAAGTTCATGCGCAGCATCCGCGCCTGGGCCTCCGAGACCTTTGGCACCGAGAAGGCCATCCTTCTGGTGGCCATGGCGACCCCAGAGGACCTCCGGGCCAATGCGGAGCATGTAAGGATCGCTGACCAATTCTTGGAGGTCCCTGGTGGAACCAATAACAACAACTATGCAAATGTGCAGCTCATTGTCGAGGTTAGTGCGGTTCATCCATCAGTCATTCTCCTGCTCTTATATCATCCATGTTCATTGTGCTTGGTACTTGACTAGTAGTTACTAATGTTTGCTTGTGATTCACCTGTCATGTCATGATACAGATAGCAGAGAGGACCCGGGTTTCTGCAGTTTGGCCAGGCTGGGGTCATGCCTCTGAGGACCCAGAGCTTCCAGATGCGCTCAAGGAAAAGGGGATCATTTTTCTTGGGCCACCGTCGGCCGCCATGGCGGCACTAGGTGATAAGATCGGTTCCTCTCTTATTGCACAAGCAGCAGGAGTTCCAACTCTTCCATGGAGTGGGTCACATGTATGTATGCGTGCCTTCTCCTATTTCTTTGATATATATTGTTTTGTTTTCTCCATCACTGTATATACATATATGTTGCTTAAAACTAACACGAAATATCGTGCTCTAGGTGAAAGTTCCGCAAGAAACCTGCCACTCTATACCTGAGGAGATCTATAAGAAGGCTTGTGTGTCAACCACAGAGGAAGCAGTCGCAAGTTGTCAAGTGGTGGGGTATCCTGCAATGATCAAGGCATCGTGGGGCGGTGGTGGTAAAGGAATAAGGAAGGTGCACAATGACGATGAGGTGAGAGCCTTGTTTAAGCAGGTGCAAGGAGAAGTCCCTGGATCGCCTATATTTGTTATGAAGGTGGCCTCTCAGAGCCGGCATCTAGAGGTCCAGTTGCTCTGTGACAAGCACGGCAACGTAGCAGCGCTGCACAGTCGGGACTGTAGTGTTCAGAGAAGGCACCAAAAGATTATCGAAGAGGGACCAATCACTGTTGCTCCTCCAGAGAAGGTTAGAGAGCTTGAGCAGGCAGCAAGGCGGCTCGCTAAATGTGTGCAATATCAGGGTGCTGCCACGGTGGAATATCTGTACAGCATGGAAACGGGTGAATACTATTTCCTGGAGCTTAATCCAAGATTGCAGGTAGAACACCCTGTGACCGAATGGATTGCTGGAGTGAACCTACCTGCATCTCAAGTTGCGGTAGGAATGGGCATACCCCTCTACAACATTCCAGAGATCAGACGCTTTTATGGACTGGAACATGGAGGTGGCTATCACAGCTGGAAGGAAATATCAGCTGTTGCGGCTAAATTTGACTTGGACAAAGCACAGTCTGTAAGGCCAACGGGTCACTGTGTAGCAGTTCGAGTTACTAGCGAGGATCCAGATGACGGGTTTAAGCCTACTGGTGGAAGAGTGGAGGAGCTAAACTTTAAAAGTAAACCCAATGCTTGGGCCTATTTCTCAGTTAAGTCTGGCGGAGCAATTCATGAGTTTTCTGATTCTCAGTTTGGTCATGTTTTTGCTTTTGGGGAATCCAGGTCGTTGGCAATAGCCAATATGGTACTTGGGTTAAAAGAGATCCAGATTCGTGGAGAGATACGCACCAATGTTGATTACACGGTCGATCTCTTGAATGCCGCGGAATACCGAGAAAATAAGATCCACACTGGTTGGCTAGACAGCAGAATAGCTATGCGTGTCAGAGCAGAGAGGCCACCATGGTACCTTTCAGTTGTTGCTGGAGCTCTATATGAAGCATCAAGCAGGAGCTCAAGTGTTGTAACCGATTATGTCGGTTATCTCAGTAAAGGTCAAATACCACCAAGGCACATCTCTCTTGTCAATTTGACTGTAACACTAAATATAGAGGGGATCAAATATACAGTTAAGACAGTAAGAGGTGGACCTGGTAGCTACAAATTAAGAATCAATGAATCAGAGATTGAAGCAGAGATGCACTCGTTGCGTGATGGTGGGCTCTTAATGCAGTTGGATGGAAACAGTCATGTAATTTACGCAGAGACAGAGGGTGCTGGTACACGCCTTCTAATCAATGGTAGAACCTGCTTATTACAGAAAGAGCATGATCCTTCCAAGCTGTTGGCTGATACACCGTGCAAACTTCTTCGGTTTTTGGTCGCCGATGGTTCTCATGTGGTTTCTGATACACCATATGCTGAGGTGGAGGTCATGAAGATGTGCATGCCACTGTTACTACCGGCCTCTGGTGTCATTCACTTTGTCATGCCTGAGGGTCAGGCCATGCAGGCGAGTGACCTGATAGCAAGGTTGGATCTTGATGACCCATCTTCTGTGAGGAAAGCTGAACCATTTCATGGCACCTTCCCAAAGCTTGGACCTTCTGCTGCTATTTCTGGCAAAGTTCACCAAAAGTTTGCTGCAAGTGTGAATTCTGCGCACATGATCCTTGCAGGATATGAACATAATATCAGTCATGTTGTACAATATTTGCTAAACTGCCTAGACAGCCCTGAGCTCCCTTTTCTTCGGTGGCAAGAACTCATGTCCGTTTTGGCAACACGACTCCCAAAAGATCTTAGGAATGAGTTGGATGGTGTGTACAAGGAGTATGAGTTGAATGCTGACTTCCGGAAGGGCCAGGATTTCCCTGCCAAGTTGTTAAGGGAAGTCATTGAGGCAAATCTTGCACACTGTTCTGAGAAAGATAGGATTACCAGTGAGAGGCTTATAGAGCCACTTATGAGCCTGGTCAAGTCATATGAGGGTGGAAGAGAAAGCCATGCTTGCGTTGTTGTCAAGTCTCTCTTTGAGGAGTATTTATCTGTTGAAGAACTGTTCAGTGATGACATTCAGTCTGATGTGATAGAACGTCTACGACTTCAACATGCAAAAGACCTTGAGAAGGTTGTCTATATTGTGTTCTCCCATCAGGGTGTGAAAAATAAAAATGAGTTGATACTACAGCTTATGGACGGATTGGTCTACGCAAATCCATCTGCTTACAGGGACCAGTTGATTCGCTTTTCTGCTCTGAACCATACAGCATACTCTGGGCTGGCACTTAAAGCAAGCCAACTTCTTGAGCAAACTAAATTGAGTGAACTCCGCACAAGCATAGCAAGAAGCCTTTCAGAGCTGGAGATGTTTACTGAGGAAGGAGAGCAGGTTTCTACACCTAGGAGGAAGATGGCCATCAATGAAAGGATGGAAGATTTAGTGTGTGCCCCACATGCAGTTGAAGACGCCCTTGTGGCTTTGTTTGATCACAGTGATCCTACTCTTCAGCGGAGAGTAGTCGAGACATACATACGAAGATTGTATCAGCATTACCTTGTAAGGGGTAGTGTCCGGATACAATGGCACAGGTCTGGCCTAATTGCATTATGGGAATTCTCTGAAGAGCATATTGGGCAGTCTGCAGCACTTCTAAAGCAACAAGTACAGGATCCCAGGGGCAGGCGATGGGGTGTAATGGTTGTAATCAAGTCTCTTCAGTGTCTGTCAACTGCGATTGAAGCTGCATTAAAGGAGACTTCGCATTACAGAGCAGGTGCTGGAAGTGTCTCAAATGGTAATCCTATAAATTCTAACCGTGGCAATATTCTGCACATTGCTTTGGTTGGTATCAGCAATCAGATGGGCACTCTTCAAGACAGTGGTGATGAGGATCAAGCTCAAGAAAGGATTAACAAACTTTCCAAGATTCTGAAGGATACGACTATAACATCACATCTCAATGGTGCTGGTGTTAGGGTTGTCAGCTGCATTATCCAAAGAGATGAAGGGCGTCCGCCAATGCGCCACTCCTTCCAATGGTCATTTGACAAGCTATATTATGAGGAGGACCCGATGCTCCGTCATGTGGAACCTCCTTTGTCCACATTTCTTGAATTGGACAAAGTGCATCTAGAAGGTTACAGTGACGCAAAATACACCCCATCTCGTGATCGCCAGTGGCACATCTACACACTGGTAAAGAACAATAAAGATCCGAGATCAAATGACCAAAGGATGTTTCTTCGTACCATAGTCAGACAGCCAAGTATGACCAATGGTTTTTCGTTTGGACATATTGACAATGAGGTATGCCGTGCTCAAGCCTCATCGTCATTCATATCTAACAGCATACTCAGATCATTGATGGCAGCGCTAGAGGAAATAGAGTTACATGCTCACAATGAGGCTGTGAGGTCAGCACACTCCCATATGTATATGTGCATACTGAGAGAGCAGCTGTTGTTTGATCTAATTCCAGTTTCAACGAGGATGGATGAAGTTGGCCAAGATGAGGAGACAGCATGCACACTTTTGAAGCATATGGCTATGAGTATACATGAACATGTCGGTGTTAGGATGCATCGACTTTCCGTGTGCCAGTGGGAAGTGAAGCTATGGTTAGATTGTGATGGGCAAGCTAGTGGTGCTTGGAGAGTTGTTGTTACCATTGTCACTGGGCATTCCTGCACTGTTGATATTTACCGAGAAGTGGAGGACTCCAATACACATGAGCTTTTCTACCGCTCCGCCACACCCGCAGCTGGTCCTTTGCATGGCATTCCATTGCATGAGCCATACAAACCTTTGGATGCCCTTGACCAGAAACGTAACACTGCTAGGAAAAATGAAACTACATACTGCTATGATTTCCCATTGGTATTTGAAAAAGCATTGAAGGAGTCCTGGAAATCTGGTATTTCACATGTTGCAGAAGCTAACGGGCACAATCAGCGGTATGCTCAAGTGACAGAGCTCATGTTTGCTGATTCAACTGGATCATGGGGTACTCCTTTGGTTCCAGTTGAGCGTCCTCCAGGTATGAATGATATTGGAACTGTTGCTTGGAACATGAAGCTGTCCACACCAGAATTTCCAGACGGCCGGGAGATTATAGTTGTTGCAAATGACGTGACATTTAAAGCTGGTTCTTTTGGTCCTAGAGAAGATGCATTCTTCGATGCTGTTACCAATCTTGCTTGTGAGAGGAAAATTCCTCTAATCTACTTGGCAGCAACTTCTGGTGCTAGGCTCGGTGTAGCAGAGGAAATAAAGGCATGCTTCCATGTGGGATGGTCTGATGATGAGAGTCCTGAACGTGGTTTTCAGTATATTTACCTCATGGAACAAGATTATTCACGCCTAAGATCTTCGGTTATAGCCCATGAGCTAAAGCTGGAAAGTGGAGAAACCAGATGGGTTGTTGATACCATTGTTGGGAAAGAGGATGGACTCGGTTGTGAGAATCTACATGGAAGTGGTGCCATTGCCAGTGCCTACTCTAATGCATACAGAGAGACGTTTACTCTGACATTTGTGACTGGGAAAGCTGTTGGCATTGGGGCTTATCTTGCTCGGATAGGACTGCGGTGTATACAGCGTCTTGATCAACCAATTATTTTAACTGGGTTTGCTCCGCTAAACAAGCTTCTGGGACGGGAGGTTTATACCTCCCAATTGCAACTGGGTGGCCCCAAAATCATGGCTGCAAATGGAGTTGCCCATCTCACAGTGTCAGATGATCTTGAAGGTGTTTCTGCTATCTTGAAATGGCTCAGCTACGTACCTGCGTATGTCGGCGGTCCTCTTCCTATTCTGACACCTCTTGATCCACCGGAGAGACCTGTAACATACTTACCAGAGAATTCATGTGATGCCCGTGCGGCCATCTGTGGCATTCAGGACACTCAAGGAGGCAAGTGGTTGGGTGGTATGTTTGACAGAGAAAGCTTTGTGGAAACATTAGGGGGATGGGCGAAAACTGTTATCACCGGAAGGGCAAAGCTGGGTGGGGTTCCAGTCGGTGTCATAGCTGTGGAAACCGAGACAATGATGCAAGTGACCCCCGCTGATCCTGGTCAGCTTGATTCTGCAGAGCGTGTAGTCCCTCAAGCAGGACAGGTGTGGTTCCCAGATTCGGCCGCGAAAACAGCCCAGGCACTGCTGGATTTCAACCATGAAGAGCTCCCATTGTTCATACTTGCTAACTGGAGAGGCTTTTCTGGTGGCCAAAGGGATCTGTTTGAAGGAATCCTTCAGGCCGGTTCCATGATTGTCGAGAATCTGAGGACATATAAGCAGCCTGCCTTTGTGTATATACCAAAGGCTGGAGAGCTGCGTGGAGGCGCATGGGTCGTGGTGGACAGCAAGGTCAATCCTGAGCACATTGAGATGTATGCCGAGAGGAGTGCAAAAGGTAATGTCCTTGAGCCAAAGGCGCTAATTGAGATCAAATTTAAGCCAAATGAAGTCGAAGAGAGCATGTTAAGGCTTGACCCTCAGTTGGTCAGACTCAATGCTAGCCTCCTCAAAGAAATCAAGATAGGCACATCGGAAACGGAGGCCATCAGGATCAGGAGTATGATGACCGCTCGGATGAAGCAGCTGATGCCCATATACACTCAGGTTGCTACCCGGTTTGCTGAACTGCACGACACCACTTCCAGAATGGTCGCCAAAGGTGTGATCAGAAAGGTGGTGGACTGGGAGGAGTCCCGGGCCTTCTTCTACAGGAGGTTGCGAAGGAGGGTTGCTGAGGATTCACTTGCCAAACAAGTTAGAGAAGCCGCTGGTGAGCAGATGATGCCTACTTATGGATCGGCGCTGGAGTGTATCAAGGAATGGTATATGGCTTCTCAAGGACAGGGAGATGGCGAGAAGTGGGACGATGACGAGGCTTTCTTTGCCTGGAAAGACGATTGTAGCAACTATGACAAGCATCTCGAGGAGATGAAAGCTGAACGAGTATCCAGGCTGTTGTCGCAACTTGCTGAAAGCTCAGATGTGAAGGCTTTGCCCAACGGTCTCTCGCTCCTCCTTGGCAAAATGAATCCTTCAAAGAGGGAGCAGGTCATCAATGGCCTCAGGCAGCTTCTTGGTTGATGGCAAATGTAAACAGACCTGCTCGTCTTTGGCCGGTGGAGTAGAAATTAGGCCTATGTATGTAGTGAGCCGTTGTAACCTTGTAGTAAATTGTTTGGCCTGTCTCATGCCAATGTACATTACACAGCCAGCCAGAGTCAATAGAAATAAGAATGATTATTTATGTTAAAGATGATATTTATGCTTCTGATTTTTTCGCCACTCTTTTACCTACCAAATGGACATTTTGTCCACTCTTCTGCATGGTTATATTTTCTCAATACCGAAAGTCTACGGTAATAACCAATACACACCTAGTGATACTGTTTAGTTCTTTGTTGAACTTTTTCGTTAATCCTTATGTCTTCTTGTTTTCATCCTACTTGGAACAGATGAACACAGAGGAGGATGTGCAAGAGAAGATGAAGCCTTATCTACAGATGTATAAGAAATCGTTTACGCCGGCGGCTGTCCAGGCAATTCGTGCCTTGGTGGAGGTCAATGTTTGATCTAATTTTTCAGAAGGTTAGGTGCAAGCACACATCTAGATGCAGGTGTGTTCTTGAGGTTGCAGAGGTTGACTTGGTTGGGTACGTTGTGTTGTCGATGGTCTTGGGCCTAGGCACCCTTGAATCTGGCTCGGACGACGTCCCTCGAGTGCTAGTCCGGTGTGTGTGGTCTTCGCCGGTTTCCCTTAATTAACCGTGCCATGTATGGTTTTTGGGTTCAGTTTCCCTTATTAACTGGACCAACTCTCTTCTTAATGCAACGCGGGAGCTCCCCGCCCTCTGACGAGGAACAGATGAACACGCCTTTATGGCGCTTTTAGGGAAAGTTGACAACTACCAAGCCCGCTCTTCTGCTCACATCTTGATGGCTTCTGACAAATTTCTTGCATGAGGCATTCCTATCACTTGCTCACGAGTTTGCCTTTGACCTCAGAATCTGCACTGCTCTGACTAGATCACCCATGCTCCAGGTCTATGGCGGCTGAAGTTCATCGATGGCGTGCTGCGTCCGAGAGCTGATAAAACGGCGCTGGAGCAGTCGGAGTTATGAACTTGGTACCTCACACTACAAAAACTGTAGGCCACAGCCTGGCCCGGATCACGCGCGTTATTGTGGTTTTAATCTTTTAGGGCAACAGGGGATCCATAACCATGAAAGTTTTGTGTGTGAGCTGATGTGGTGTAAGTGTAGCTGCAACAGTTGTCTGAATCTGAAAGCTTTGCTCACCGAACTGAACTCAAAGTCTCAAATTTAGTGAGAAAGAAGTAGTTAGCAGATTATATGTTTGTCCATACTTCAAATCTGCCGATTGTTATAGTTCCAGATGCAATAAGAAGGAAGAAAATACTATTATCAAACAGTTTTGCTGGGCGCCAGTCGCCTGAACTTAGAATTTTGGTCAATCGATTAGGTGGAGAAGGAAGCAGCAACCGTAGTGCACCGAGACTGCTGCCAGCAGGTTTAATCTTGTCAATCTTCGGGTGCAAGGGGAAGAAGCAGCCTCCACGTCTAGGGTCTAGGGAGAAGCAAAAGCCTCCTTGTCTATCTTAAGGTTGCTTGGGGGGTGCAGGTTCGCTGGAAAATTTAGGTGGTTTGCCGGTAAGAGGGATGATCGTGGGCGGCGGCAAGCATGGCGGTGGTGGGAGGGCGGGGGGATGAGGCGGTTGCGGGAGCGCCGCCGCCCAGGGATGGTGGAGGCATGCGGTTTGGCCATCGGTTGTGGGCGGTTCATATCGAGATCGTGGGGAGGAAGGCGATGAACAATTTTTTTAGGTGGTTGAAGGAGATAAACGGCTGGGAACAAATCGACTGACCCAAAAAACAAACCAAGTCAACTGGCCCCTAGCTATTCCCTCATTATCAAATGTGTTATTAACTTGATGGTTGTGTATATGGAACGATGAACAGATTGTTTCGTGACTGTCTTGTTTTCAGTCTCCATAACCATGTTCCCAGCGCTGGCAATGGCACCTTGGGCGGTTGGCATGGCTTGGTTTATCATACATCTGCAGGTGGCACACTGGACGACTATTTCCTGTTCCCAACACAAGGGTGACATATGCAGTTCTTGTTTTCTTGTTGAAGACCAAAGTCAAATGTTTGCTAAGGAAAGTAACGTACTCATCAGTTCCGTTCGCTATATTTGTTCATAACTATATGATATTCGCCTTTAAGCAGTTTGTCCATGAGACCATATAGATTATGTCTCCCATGGCGCTCTCCAAAGCATACACTCCCATGCATGAACCAGTGATTCAGGGACACAAAGTTATGCATTATTTATTGATAACATGATAGTGTGCCTAGCATATCCATTAAGATCTATTAATCATAGCAAATCTTGCAGTAGCAGGTTCCAATGAAAAACCGATTGCACCAATGCTCGTAGACCTTCATATCCTGCCACTGAGCCGAGCATTCAACCTTGCATACTGATTTGGTGCAGTACACGAGCTTAATCTGAACCAACTGACAGTCTGCGTACCACAAACATAACGGAAATTATACCAACATAATATTTTTCAATGCTGCATGTGCATCAACATCACATTTGAGAAAACTCTTGGTAATACGATCTTGAAATTTTATGTGGATTTTTCAAGGCTCTTCTTTTGAAGGAACTCTACTTAAGAACAACAAATGAGGGAACACACCTGCAGATGTGCTTTTGAACAACACAAGCATCACGAGAAAACAAGCGATGGTAGACCTTCCGTCCATTCTTGCACTATACATTCCAACAAGAGCCAAAGGGACAATATATAATGTCAAAAAGAATCTATACTTTAAAGTTTCACACGTAGACACTAATGCAAATTAATTTGGAAACCAAGTACCAAATCAATTTGAAAATTAAGTCATTAATGCAATTAATTACACGTAATTAATTGTGTATGCAATTGATTAGGTATGTTTAAATAGACATTTTTTCATGCCAAATCAATTTGGAAACCGAGCTATTAATGCAATTGATTAGTCAAGTAGTTAAGGCCAACACATAATTAATAATAGCGATTTTTCCAATCGTATTATCCCTAAAACTAGCCATAGTGGGAGTAACTAGTGAACTGGTCACTGGTCACAGTGAGAGTAATTTCAAGAGTAATATTGGGTTCAACTCAACAAATTTGCCTATGTGACAATGAGTTAATGAGGAGAGATGTAAATTGAGTAACTTAGCTAGTTACTCAGTCTATGAGTAACATCACACATACCAACATAAAATGAGTCTATAACTTAATAAATGAAGCTTTGCATGACACTACACATATATTACTACCCACTATGTAGAGTCTAGGATAGCGTGTATGTTATGTTGGAAATATGCCCTAGAGGCAATAATAAATTGGTTATTATTATATTATATTTCATTGTTCATGATAATCGTTTATTATCCATGCTATAATTGTATTGATAGGAAACTCAGATACATGTGTGGATACATAGACAACACCATGTCCCTAGTAAGCATCTAGTTGACTAGCTCGTTGATCAATAGATGGTTACGGTTTCCTGACCATGGACATCGGATGTCGTTGATAACGGGATCACATCATTAGGAGAATGATGTGATGGACAAGACCCAATCCTAAGCCTAGCACAAGATCATGTAGTTCGTATGCTAAAGCTTTTCTAATGTCAAGTATCATTTCCTTAGACCATGAGATTGTGCAACTCCCGGATACCGTAGGAGTGCTTTGGGTGTGCCAAACGTCACAACGTAACTGGGTGGCTATAAAGGTTCACTACGGGTATCTCTGAAAGTGTCTGTTGGGTTGGCACGAATCGAGACTGGGATTTGTCACTCTGTGTAACGGAGAGGTATCTCTGGGCCCACTCGGTAGGACATCATCATAATGTGCACAATGTGACCAAGGAGTTGATCACGGGATGATGTGTTACGGAACGAGTAAAGAGACTTTCCGGTAACGAGATTGAACAAGGTATTGGGATACCGACGATCGAATCTCGAGCAAGTATCGTACCGGTAGACAAAGGGAACTGTATACGGGATTGATCGAATCCTTGACATCGTGGTTCATCCGATGAGATCATTGTGGAACATGTAGGAGCCAACATGGGTATCCAGATCCCGCTGTTGGTTATTGACCGAAGAGTTGTCTCGGCCATGTCTGCATGACTCCCGAACCCGTAGGGTCTACACACTTAAGGTTCAATGACGCTAGGGTTATAAGGAAAGTGTGTACGCGGTTACCGAATGTTGTTCGGAGTCCCGAATGAGATCCCGGACGTCACAAGGAGTTTCGGAATGGTCCGGAGGTAAAGATTGATATATAGGAAGTATGGTTTTGGCCACCGGAAGTGTTCCGGGCATCACCGGTAGTGTACCGGGACCACCGGAGGGGTCCGGGGGTCCACCGGGAGAGGCCACGGGCCCCGGAGGCATACATGGGCCAATAGTGGGAAGGAACCAACCCCTAGGTGGGCTGGGGCGCCTCCCACCAAGGCCCAAGGCGCCTCCAAGAGGGGAGGGGGGCAAACCCTAGGGCAGATGGGCCCTAAGGCCCACCCCAGGTGCACCTGCCCCTCTCCCCTTGTGCCCGCCACCCTAGATGGGATCTAGGGCTGCCGCACCCCTTGGGGTGGGAACCATAGGTGGGGGCGCAACCCTCCCTCTCCCCCTGTATATAGTGGAGGCAAAGGGGCAGCCCAACACACGATTCGATCTCCCTATTGGCGTAGCCCTACCCCTCTCCCTCCTCGTCTCTCGTAGTGCTTGGCGAAGCCCTACTGGAGTCCCACGCTCCTCCACCACCACTACGCCGTCGTGCTGCTGCTGGACGGAGTCTTCCCCAACCTCTCCTTCTCCCCTTGCTGGATCAAGGCGTGGGAGACGTCACCGGACTGCACGTGTGATGAACGCGAAGGCGTCGTGGTTCGGCGCTTAGATCGGAATCAACCGCGATCTGAATCGCTACGAGTACGACTCCTTCATCCACGTTCTTGCAACGCTTCCGCTTAGCGATCTACAAGGGTATGTAGATGCACTC